TGTGTATGTGTACATATATATATATATATGTATACACGTATGTGAGAGAGAGAGAAGGAGAGAGAGAGAGAGAGAGAGAGAGAGAGAGAGAGCGAGAGAGAGAGAGACAGAGAGAGAGAGAGAGGGGCCATGGGAGTCCCTGTGGCCACCACCCTATCAATCCGTTAGATTCATTGGGTTTAGGGTTTAGGGTTTAGGGTTCTCCGGCCACAGCGCCGAATTAAGAGAACTAACTAAAACCCTAAACCCTAAACCCTAAACCGCTTGCTTGATTTCATTGTTTACATGGCCTAGGATCACCCAGGGGCGGCCCGCATTTACTTCATGAAATTCTGCGGCCTTAGCCCCGAATCACATCGAGTTAAACCCGGATCACTTGTGTGGGAAATCGTTGAATCAAAGGTTGAAAAAAACAGATTCATTAAACCTTAAACCCTAAACCCTGAACCCTAAACCTTAAACCTTAAACCCTAACCCTAAACCCTAAACCTTATAAACCTTTGGTTCCCCGGTCACAGGCCCGATTTAAGAGAATGAAAAGAATTCCTTAATGCAGCTCACTCTGTTAATTCTCCCGCCCAGGCCCCGAATAAACATTTAGGGTTTAGGGGTTAGGGTTTAGGGTTTAGGGTTTAGGTGCATAGTTACGTCAACTAACTCAACAAAGTCATTAGCTCATTGATTTTCAATGGCGCGGGATCTCCGAAGGGGCGGCCCGAATTGTGGCTTGAGGCATTTACATCGGGTCTTATGGGCTAGGCTTTCAAGGTCGGGGTTTGGGGATGCTCTGAAGCTTGCAGCGACGACACAACAGCGACAGTGAGAGCAAACCCTAAACCCTAAACCCAAAACCCTAAACCCAAAACCCTAAACCCTAAACCCAAAACCCAAAACCCTAAACTCTAAACCCTAAACCCTAAACCTCAGACCCAACCAAGACCCAAGGAGCTGCAATCATCCGAGGATCCCTCTGTTTACGTCGGCGGCGGTTGCGGCGACCATCATGTAAGTGGCAGAAATCGCAAAAGGCCCCTTTACTGCAGGTCCGAAGCGGAGGCTTGTGATAGCCTGAGCTAAGAATCAGCTTTTGGATTTCGCGAAGCTCTTTTCCAACTTCAGAAAGCTTTGAGCCCCTTAACCCTAAACCTTTACTAAACCCTAAACCCTGAACCGTTTAGCGTCCGGGTTCGGAGGCGTGTGATAGCTTGAGCTGATAGTGGAGGCCGTGGTGATTAAAATAGGGGCTCCAGGGATCTTTTGAGTGCAAGGACTGCTTAAACCCTAAACCCCTAAAC